GGGCTTGGCTGCTGATATCTTCCCCTCTCCCCGCACTTATCAGGGAGGACCGCAGCCGGTCGTTATTTTTCCCCCTTTCTTTCCTTTAGCTGGCGGCTCCGTTCAAAGTCTCCTTCCCCCGATAAGCCGCAGCGCTGTTTGCCACCGCGGCCCGAGACTTTCCCCCTTCGTTAGCCTAAGTGGCTGCAGCCCTTCTGACTGAACAGAGATGAAGTTGTTACACGTGACGACATCTTGTTCGCTTTCAGAATAATTTTGGGCGCTTTTGAAGTGCTCTTTTCCTCCCCTTTTTGCTACTATGAAGTGGTTTGTTTTTTCCTTTCTTTTTTTTTTTTTTTTTCTTTTTTTTTTTTTTGTCCCCCCCCCCTATAAATTCACTAATTATGTTCTGAAGTGACCGAATTGTGTGGCGTTCCTCATGTTTATTGCACTTTAAAGTCACCTTAAGGGTCTGGTGGAGGGTGCATGCTCACCACTTTGTCAGCCGACAGGTGCTAATGTGCTAAATAAACCCTAAGACTGGTATAAATTACTCTGTAGCTGTTGCCAGGATACATACACTACTTGCATACACAAGATAAAGTCCCTGGGTTTATAGTATCTAGATGATTCACTTCTGAAGGACAGTTGAAGGAAATAAAAGCAAATGGCCCATGTGGCTTTTGTGGGGAAAAAAATGTTTTTATGCCGGGCAGCATGTTACCTGCTAAAAATTTGTATAGATTTAATAAATGGCCTTTAAACAAGCTGGTTGTCACACCAGGTTTCAGGAGAAAAAACAGTGCTACAGAGAATTCTGGTATAAATTAGAAGAGGAAAAATATATTTTAACGTGGATATTTCTGTTGAATTTTGTCTTCTTTGGCTTATTTTAGGGAAATATATTTAAAGATGATGGTTGTGGACTTTCTGTAAGATACAGATTAAGTTGAGCATGTGTTGGCTGGTACACGGGTGGTTGTTGTAAGATGTTTGAAGATGTTTATTTTGTTAAAACTCAGTAAATATCTCTTCATACCTTTTTCAGGTTCACTACTGTTAGAATCGAAGATAAATCCAAATACCGCGTATCAAAAACAGCAGGCAAGTATTACTGCCAGGCTTTATTTTTTCTGGTTACTGATGCTGAGGAATTGTTGTATGCTCAAACTAATTGCATTTTTCAGGGGAACAAAAAGAAAAGCATGACGTGCACTTGTTGATGATATTTTTCATAGAGGCGAAAAGCTTTCGTACAAGCCTGTAGGTGTTATAATAACTTCACAGTCTAGAAATTAAAATGTGAGTCTCCTAAAAAAACCCTTTGGTATTTCAAGCTTGGAAGAGAATATATGCAATTTGGATAAATATTGAACTCATTACAGGAAAAATAGTTAGAAACATATATATGTAACTTTTGTCTCCCATCCCAGGCCATATGAAGTAGTTGCTGGATTAGGAAGGCAAAACATTGGCCAGCTCTGTTACAGTGTATTTACTTACTGAGTTCTTTTTCTGGAAATAACACAAAGGAGTTTGTCTTTGTGGACCTTCTTTCATTGTTGCTGTTTAGTTTTTGTTTTAATCCTTGAAAACTTACCGCTATCTTATGTAAAGTGACTAGCCATGGTGAGACTTACTTGTGTGGTTGCCTTTCCTGAGAGTAAGTCTTCTGCAGAACAAAGAAGGAAAGCAGTCGGGAGCTATGTTAATAGGTTGTTTTTGTTTAATCCACTAAAAAAATTAGTTTACTGAATCTCTTTTGCTTTTATTGCTTTTTCCTTTTTCTGTATTAATTTTTTTATGCCTCTGCCTACATTGCTCTTGTGGTTATTACTGTTTTTTTTTTTCCTGTCCTTTCCTTTGTTATACAGCAGCTTATCTTTCCTTTTGTTCAATGTTTTGTACTGCTCTGTATCATTATGATATCCAGAACTGTTTCAGCATTAGAAAACAGTAATTTTGTTCTTCCTGAATCGTGAAGAAACAAATCTTTAAGGATTTTTTTTTTTTTTTTTCCAGTGGAGAGGTGACAAGTTACGAGAATGTGAGGAAAGAGACTTTTGTTTAGCTCCTGAGCACAAATTGGCTGGCTTTACCTTGGGAGCGAGTTGGAGTCTTGGGCCTAGCTTTTCAGAAGGCTCTGTTTTCTGTGGTTCCCATTTTTCACTCATTAGATATTGGTGGTTTTAGTCAGGTGGATGATAGTCGTAGGCTTTCCTTGGGTGGGCCATGCTGAGGAAGGAGGAGGGTGTTTGTGGAGCTCTGCAGGGTTCTGCAAGTCAAGAACTTTGAACTGCTTCCTGTTTAGTAGAGGAAACTAGTACATAATGAAATACAAATGCAGATTACATTGCTGCAGAGTTTTAAATCACTTCCTTTTGCAGCTGTTTTCTGCAACTTTGTACAGCTGATTATTTGAAAGCCTTCTTTACGTAATTGGTAGCAAAGTTTTAAGTGACTTCAGTAGCTTTTGTCATTTTTCTTGTGGAAGTCATTTTAAGTTGTAGTTTTGGAAAACTCAGGCTGAGGTTTATTTTGGTTGGCTTTTGTTACTGATTCTAATGCTTTTATGTCCTCGTGGCTGAAAATGTTTGCTTCACTGTTCACTCTTTTGAACAAGTTTGGTTTTAGGTTTTTTGGGTTTTTTTTTTTGAAGAGGAATAATGATCGATGATTTCTAGAGACAGGTTCTAGGTTTGTTTAACCTCTGAAGTCATACAGCTTTTAGTTGACAGAGCTTTGTCCTGAAGTCCTCATGTGCTTCCTTCTGAGTAGAGCAGTAAAGAGCAGATCTTATCAGTCTGTGAGATTTCAGTCTCATCTGTAAAATACTGTAGTGTTCAAACCTGGATGTCTCAGGAGCAGATCCTTTTTAAAAATGGTGGAAAGGTTCAGGGAGAATGTTTTGGTTCACCAGAGATGAAGAGAGGTGATCTTTCCTCAGTGTCCCTACTTGAAGCCTGTTAGGTAGGTAGGCTGAAGACTCAGAGGCTGTACTGATCTGCCCAGGGCAGATGCTTTTAGGTGAATGGCAGCGTGGAGGTGAGCTCTCTTTTCCACTTGCTAGAGTTCAGTTGCAGATTTTCGTTAAGATGCTGATCATCCTGGGTTTGGGGAAAGCTGCAAGATGATGGTACAGCTTGATGGAAAGGAAGCAGGCTCTGCCTACGCATCTGTGTTCATGTAAATTACTTGAATAGACTTACAGGATAGTTATTGCTTAAGCTGTGATTTGCATAACAACATTCTGTGAAAAAGAAAACCAACTGATATTTAGTTGCTGTGCATGAGTCTGTGATTCCCAATACTACGCTATGCTAAGTAGTACTATATTGGCTAACCCTAAATAGGGCAGGCCTGTTATCTGCCTTCTCAAATCATGTTTGTGGTCACTAGCTTTTGTGCAGAATACAGTTCTGTCAGGGTATCAGGCATAGTAGAATCTTTCTCAAGAGAAATAGGACTTGGATTGGACATGGGTGCCAGGCTGCTCAGCATACAACATAATCTCTAAGTCCATGTATGTAAAGAACATGAGAGCCTGAAGAGTTTTAGATCTCCCTGGATTTTGGGGCATAGGCCTTGAGAGTTACTTACCTCCCCTGGACATCTCATACTGGTAAAGGGCAGGGTCAGATGCGTTCTGAAGGCTCTAGCAGGAGCAGTTTAAAAAGTTGTTACCACACCCATTTGTTGTTCCACCCTCTGCTTGAGGTTACTGTTCCCTGGCAAACGTGGCAGAAGAGCGTGTCTTCAGTGAGAAATCTACTGGATCTGCTTTGTTCCGCCACCTCCTCCAGCAGTAATTTTCAGTTGCATGGCTGTGAGACTTGAACCTGCTACAGAAATCCTTACTGTGAACACTGCCTTCTGGTGTTAACTCACCTTTAGGTGCCTTCTATCCATTTTCAGATCTCGGATGAAGAATGTGTGCAAATACTGTCTTTTACACGGAGTTGCCATCACATGTGTCAACAGAGCAGTTTACTTGAGGCAATATCAGAGTTGCTTGGGGGCAGGATTTAATACAGTTCCAGGGGTGCTGTTAAAGCCAGCCTGAGCAGTTGCCAGGGGACTTCACTCCTCTTTCGTGCCAGTATGAGTATTCATGTTACTGTGTGACAGGTTAGATGTAGGAACTGATTCAGTTGGAATATCTCTTTTTGCTGGATTAATATTTATCAGCGTGTGTTCCCCATCCGATTCACTCACGGTACAGGACATTTGACCTGGTGTCGGTGGTGGCTGAGGGGGCCAGTGCAGGAACAAGGAGAGGTGGAGTAGCAGATATTGTACAAACAAGGACCAGCACTAAAGAGGGGCTTGAACTACTCTCTAAGTTTAAATTGTTGTTCTGAATTAATCTCTTCTTTTGTTGGCCTTACATTGCGTTTGAGCAAATTAGGGAACATTGCGGTCGCTTGTCAACAGAGCAGCGTTGCGGATGCTCATCTAAGCAGGTGGGAGTGGTAAGTGTTTCGCAGCAGCTAGGCCTGGAAGATGTCTGCCTGTGGTCTTGGTGGGTTGTCTTAGGTCATGCAGAAAGTGTACACCAGATGAGTAGATTTTATATTGGTACTGGATAGTTATTTTCTGATGAGACTATCTGTCAGTCTTTCAGAAGTGTTTTTGGAGAAACTTACATAACTTCTACTTTGTGTGGGCAGTACAGATTGAAACGAGTACCATTTGGTAACTCAAGAATTCTCACAAAATTTTTGAGTGCAATATCCATGGATGCACACAGTCATTTTAAGTTACTGCACTGTATTTCTTATTTGAATCATGCTGGGCTGTGAATAGAACTTCTTAATGTATGTGTTTGTTCATTGAGACACCCCTTGAGTCGTAGCTCACCTGGAAGTATATTGATTTTGAGTGTCAGAGCATCAATAAGTTCACAGAACATCTCAAGATAAACATTGCAGATTTTGAGTTCTGTAATAGCTATAAAAGTGTGCTTAAGAATTCATATTTTTTGATTAAGCTCTAAAAGAAACAGATTAGGGAGCCGATTGGACTTTTCAGTGCCCACAGCTGACAATTATTTTGTCTTTGAAGCCCAGTTCAACTGCTCACTCTAAAATGGTACACTGTAAACATAGAGATTCAGCTGTCCCTGAGCCAGAGATGAGGGTGGACAGCTGTAAGAAAAACCATGTCAGTTACATGAAGCTGTACCATTTGCACACATGAATCGGAGCCCGAAAGCAGGGAGACTGCCTATTAATATTTGTGACTGTAGGAAAAAAGTTTTAAGTGTAATATAGGGCACTATAGTATAAACAAACAACTCTCATGAACAGCATTAAAACAATAGCGAAATGAGCTTCGTTCTTTCCAGAAATGGAAAACTTTGTTTCTTTAAACAAATACATAAAAATGAGAAAGAAAAGAAAAAACAAACCAACCAACAGAACTTCTGAGCTTGTGCAAATGCTGTTTGTAGTGCTGCCTGTGATTATGTTTTGGGAGGAGGAAGCTGCTCTATTGATAGGCATTTGACAACAATATTGTTGTAAGAGAAAGATATTATGCTAAACTTTTTTAAGAAAGAAGAAAAGGCAAAGAGGAAACCCCCCAAACAGACAACTACTGAGAGATTGAAGATTACTGTAGAAATGAAGAATTAACACCATATCAGAGTTGCTGGTTTTCATTCATGTTCCAGAGTGATAATTGTAGCAGCTGGTGAGTTGTGTTTGTTGAGACAGGCGTGTGTTTTGCAGATAGCTGTGCTGATGGAAGAGTTTACCTGCTGTCCTATACCAGCTGCCTGCCAGCAATCCTGTCCCAAACGTTAGTCTCCTCACATCTGCCAGTGGAAATACTTAGGAGTGCTCTCTGACTTGTGTAAGCCCAGATAACTGTGTTAACAAAGGTCTGTTTAAACCATCTGAACTGACCTGATTTTGACTGAAATGGTTAAGGAGTGCTGACTGACAGTAGATGCAAGAGTAGGGATGATCACTTGGTATTAGTTATGTTTTTGTCCCTCTGTCTTTGGAGGATACATGAAGGATGGTGACTGGAGAGTTGTATGATACCATGTCATGGGTTGGCCTTTAGCATAGTGAACACCCACCACACCAGGCAGTAAGCACTCACGTCATCATCTCCTGTCATTTTGTGCTCAGAGGGAACCCAGAAGTACTTTTGGGGCAAAGATGTGAGGGGGCAATGGCAGTGTCTGTTTGTCATTGCCCCTGAAGTTTCCTAAGGTATATCAGGGATTTCTAAGCCAGTCAGATATTTGTTTGGGTTTGGTTGCTAAGATTAAAGATGTCACTTTGAATATTTTGTTTACAATAAAAGTGATGGATAAGGTAAAGACTTATAAACCTGGGTAAGTTGTGGGGTGAATATTGACCTTTGTAAATGTGCGAAGTAAATTACCTTATTTACCATTAAGCAAGGACTTTATTTAAAAAACAAACAAAAAAAAGTGCTATAACAGTTCAGAAAGTCAACAAACTAAGGAGAACGATGAACTGTTTTGCTGGAGCCGTTGAAATGTACTGCAAAGTTAGCAGAGAGCCATTCAATTTGAACGTTTTAACATGAAGATGAGCTCACTGTAAGATGCCAAACTATGTATTTGGATGTCACACCACAGGGTTACATTCCTTACAGTACAGCAGCAATTGTCTTAATAAAACCTCCAAAAAAAGCCTTTTTAGTCTATTCAGAAGTTCCAGCAAATCTTCCAGATACACTGTCCAAGTGCACGAATTGAATTGATAGAGGCAGTAGTAACAGAGAAAAAAAAACTTGCTCAAATGAAAATACTTGTTGGCAAATATGTATAACTTTAGTAAGAACTTAGGAGTTTTATATTATTCAGGCTATATGTCATTTAATTCAAAAAAGAATGTTTTAACATTAGCTAGGCATTATTTCTCACATTGCTAAGTATTAAGCCCTTTCTGAGGAGGAAACACTGTAATCTTTGGGTTTTTGTTTCTACTTTGTTAAATATGAAAAGGCTTACATTGTTATATTGCAAGTTTTCTTAATCTCCTACAATGTGTGCATTCTCTTATGTTGGCTCAGAAGTATGTTGCAGAAAAATGCCATAATAAGTGTTTTGGATATGAAAAAGGGATATTTAAATATATAATGTGTAAGGTGGTCAGAAAATAGCAAAAGAGAAAGGTGATGTCCCTTATAGCAGAAAAAGTGATGTAATATTTTAGTGTCTTACATTCTTTTTTGATGAGTGTAACTTTGATTAAAATTATTTTTTCTTTAGGCATAGGAATTAATGGAATGCAGATTAATATGCAATGTAGACCTGTTTCAGAAACAATTATTTTTTTGCTTTTTATCTTAAACAGGACACCCTGATTGTTTGGTCAGAAGCAGAAAACTATGATTTAGCACTGAGTTTTCAAGAAAAAGCTGGCTGTGATGAAATCTGGGAAAAAATCTGCCAGGTACAGTTAACTTTAAATCTTCTGGTTTAGTGTCTTCTGTGACTTCACATATTTGTGCTGTAATTTTTCAACCTATTTGTAAAATAAGTACCTATTCATCATTATTTTCTGAGGCTTTTCTGTGTAAGATCTTAAGTTGCTGCTATTTAGAATACTAGTTGCTATTTCTGTAATTGAATTTCACACTTTTGAAAAATCATTGTAATAATGAAACTTGGATGCTACGCATTTTAGGTGCGGAGTTGTTTGTTTTTATGAAAAAGTGCAATGCCAGAGTAGCACGTTTCAGTTGTCATTCTCCCAGGCAGCCTTAGGAAGCTGGCTTGGCGGAGTGCAGTGGAACTGAAGATGTGTTGTAATGCGCAAGGTATTTTACTGCAAGAGACAAAGAGGTGGCACTGCTGTCTAAGCTCAAAATGTCAGTGATATTTTATTTTTTCATCAAGACCCAGGTCTTACTGTGACTGTCTGCATCTTATGGTTATTTCAATCTTCATTGTTTTATCATGAAACAGTTTAGATTTTATACTTTCAACTCTGGAAGTAACAAGTCAATGGAGTTACACTTCGTGTACTTAAAAGAAGAGAGCTAGACTTTCATGTTGGAATTTACCATAATCTCAGATTTTGAAATTATGCAGTGTGAAGCTGTTAACTAAAGAAACATAGAACTCAGATTCCTGGCAGTTTCCTTTGAACAAACTAGGCAGTTTAGATGCATTCTTAATCTTGGCATGTTTTGAGGTGTAACATCTTCTCAGCCAGTTTGGAAGTACTGTTTGTGAAAGAAACCGATCCTCGTAACTGCAAGTGTTTGCATCTAACAAATAGTCCAGGTTTTAAATTCGGGCTGAGCTGAAGGCCAGTCTGACAGAGGTCTCCATGTGATCAGACAATGTAAACCATTAGCCTTAGGCTCTTTCAAAACTCTTCCTGCTTTGTCCTTTGAGACTCCTGCGTAACGTGTGATCCTTTCTGAGGGAGTTAACAACAGGAGGTTATGAATTCTAAGTACTGGATCCGTGGGGGCAACGAAAAATAGAGGATGTGTGGGAAGACCGGGGAAAGGAGATAGAGGGGCAGACAAAGCAGAAGGAAAGCACAGAGTGGGACACAATTTCTTGCCTTTTTTCTTGTTCAGTTTTGCTCTTTGTGACATTTTCCTGCCTTTGTTCTTCGCCTTTTTGTTATGTTTCACTTAATGTTGGTATCACTCTGGCCTCTTACTACCATTTTAAGGCTTCATACCTTTCTGTTTGAGACACTGAAAGAAGGTTTTGTTACACCTTTCTTTTCTTTTTGTACTTTGTGCTTGTCTCCAACGTGCTTCACACTTCTTAAATGCACAGATGCTGTTAGGGTTTGGTTTTATTTGATTTTATTTTTTGACAAACGTACTATTGAGGATAGTGATTGTGACTGTAGAATTTAGAGGCAGCAAATTTATTCCTCTGCACGGCTAGACTTTTTCCACGCAACTGAAGGTATAAAAGTGCTTATGGACATGTTATTTTAGTTATTATTTTCATGGATGTTTTGGGGTGAGACCGTAATTGTGTGTGCTCTCTTCTTAGGTTCAAGGTAAGGATCCTTCGGTGGAAGTCACACAGGACCTTATTGAGTCAGAAGAGGAACACATAGAAGAAATGCCTGAAACTAGTCCTTTGATCGACCTTCCTACTTGTGAACTCAACAAACTTGAAGAGATTGCTGACCTAGTTACCTCTGTTCTCTCCTCACCTATCCGTAGAGAAAAGCTAGCGCTGGCCTTGGAGAATGAAGGCTATATTAAAAAACTATTACAGCTTTTCCAAGTCTGTGAGAATTTAGAGAACACCGAAGGCTTACATCACTTGTATGAAATTATTAGAGGAATTTTGTTCCTCAACAAAGCAACTCTGTTTGAGGTGATGTTTTCTGATGAGTGTATTATGGATGTTGTTGGATGCCTTGAGTATGATCCTTCTTTGGCTCAGCCAAAACGGCACAGGGAGTTCTTGACCAAAACAGCAAAATTTAAGGAGGTTATTCCTATAACAGACTCTGAACTCAGGCAAAAAATCCACCAGACTTACAGGGTACAGTATATTCAGGACATCATCTTGCCGACACCATCTGTTTTTGAAGAGAATTTTCTTTCTACCCTCACTTCCTTTATTTTCTTCAACAAAGTTGAGATTGTCAGTATGTTGCAGGTAAGTGGTTTTTAATGTGGTATCGATGGATTATGTATAGATACCTCTACCTGTAGTTTCAAAATTGATTACAGCCCTTTAACACTGTGTAAGTTAATCTTACACACTTTCGTTTGCATAATGTTTTGAATGCTTTCTCTTATTTCTGATACCTTTTATTTTGTATTTTAAAAATGGAAGATTTCAGTTGAGTATGGTTTTTTTTTTAATGGGTTGTAAACAGTTAAAGATTCTTCTCGGTTCACAAGCAACATAGGCATTTTGAGCTGTATTTACATAGACATCTAGGGAACAAGCAACTTGTTGTATTATGTATCAGGGACGTGCAACATCTTTGTAACAAATTCTGAATCTGTGATTCAAAAGAGCGCATTCAGAACCATTCCTGTTATACTACTATTACTTTATGGTACTAACTTCAGATGTTCATGTTGTAGTATCAAGTAAGTAATTAGTTGGATTTTTTCCTTCATACTGATAGCCAAAATAATAATTAATAAATGACCAACACATTACAATATCCAAAAACTTCCTGCATACTTTGTAGTCAGAAGCAGGCTTAAAAGTAGTTGGGTGCGACAACCAAGCTGGGCTGTGGAAGGAGCCTTGGTGAAGAGCTGTGTGGGAACTTCATGATGTTTTGGGTATTTTCAGTTCATACTTTGTTGTGCAAACTCATGGGTACCAAAATGGTTTTATTCTGTTTCTGATTCCTGTCCTTAGAAAAGTGGTACATTCGTGTAGAATAGAACATTGCAAACTTGTCAGTTCTGAGTGTGGATAGTCTCTGGGAAGTTGGAAGACGTATCGAGGAGGGAGGGTAGTTAAAACTGTGGAAAGAGAGAGTCCCTGGAGAAATAACATTACCATAAGGAATATTTCTAAAGAATGCAATAGAGGACTGGGAAAAAAAAAAACAAAACAAAACTGAAGAACTGCAGAGAATGGAATCAATAAGCTTTTGGGCTTCTTACTTTCTTTTTTTCTGGTTGAATAGCAGAAAGAAACTAAAAGTAAATCCCACTTGCAAAATTAACAACACTGTGTTAAATAAAGATTTCCCTTTTTATTCTTTTGCATATGTTACTTTTCTAAAATTAAAAGGAAGTTTGGTATTATTTTCCTGAGGCCACAGTCCTGTTTCCATTTATAGAGATTTTTAACTCTGAAGTTCTTTATTTTTCATTTAGGTTTTACTGTACCGAGTATTTAATTGTGCCTTAACAGAAAACCATGATTTCCTTTTACCTCTAGTACTCTTTGAAGAAAGTTCTGAAATCTTCTGACAGTTCTTTGCTGCTCTGTCACTGCTGTCTTTGCCATAGTAGAGAGAGTGTATGGCACATAGGCATGCCTTTCTGTTTTAAAGACTGTATTTGAGAGATGTGTGATGATTTACGAATAATGTTGATCAGTTGAGCTGCCTTGAGAATTACAAACGGAGAAGAAAGCACACCTGAGGAAAATTGCATGGTAGTGTGGTCCTCAGGTTCAGGACTGTTCTCACAGTCCCCTGGTGTAAATCAGATTTTTGTGGTGGCACAAGAACTCTAAAGCTCCTTTGGGTTTTGGTGAACATGTTAGAAGTCCTGTTACCCTAAATACGCCAGCGAAGCTCCCTAGGAGAACGCAGTGTATAGGGGTAGCAGATGGCATTTGCTTTGGCAGTAAAGCTCCTTTCTACGTGCCATGGAGCAGTAGGTCCCAGTGCTGCCATCGATGGAGGGCAGCCACGTGAGAAACTGAGCGAGCGTGCTAAACAAACCTAGATCCATCCTGTGCTGCAGGACATCAGGACTACACTGTGTACCAGCAAGAGGCCTTTCTTGTTGCCAAGTGTTCTGTAGTGGGGATTTTCTAGCCTATCTGTTGTTGATTGTGGTATGGTTTGGTTTTTTTAATGGGCTTAATTAAGCTGTTAAAGCCAGTAAAGCTTAGAATAAAACTGCTAAGTGTGTGTATGTTACACTGTCTCTAATGTTGATTCCAGGTATCATTTGTTTGTAAAGCACTTCTTTCCCCATGTCTTAAAATTTTCAGGGAAAAAAAAATTAAGTGAGGCTTTGGCTGACATTCCTGTAGCTGTAAAAGTTCTGTATTATGTTAGCCTAATAAAGCACAGAGATTTTAGCAACAGCACACAGAAAAATAGAGAAGTAAGCACCCTGTACATTATACCATGTAATGGTTAAATATATTTATTGGAATGCTGATATTCTGTTGATGTTTGTTCAATGCATAAGTAAAGTTTAGAGAGTTCATTCAGTACAGTGATGCATAATTTTGTAATGCCAGAGCATAATGTTATTATTTGGTCCAGGATTTATATTGTGTTTAAAAGGTAACAGACATACTCGATTTGAGAGAATGCCAACGCTATTTTCCATGTGAAGGAGTGCAGAGAAATCGATGTACAGAGAGGGCAGAAAGTGCCCAAGCAGTTGGGAGATGGTGATGTTCACCCTGGTTTTCTTCTACCTCTTGAGTATTAAGCAATGGTGTAACTGAAATGCTTAACGAGAAGTGAAATGTTGTCCTATATATACTTAAATATCTCTTGGTAGTAGAGGATCTGAATATAAAAAGCAAATAATACTTCAAAAAGTTTTCCAGATTGGAAAAGCTGAAATTCCTACAAGCAAGGGAGCTTATTTTTAGAACAAGGCTAACGGGGATGTGGCTACAGCAAACTCACAATGTGTTAATCTAGTCACCCTTGCACGGGTGGACTGAGGAAATGTTTGCAGTGCTGCAGATCCAAAATAAGGTGGCTGATACACGTGATGTTAACAGTGTAGGGTGAACGGCGTAGATTGGTGAAAATTGTATCTTGATTGGGAATTTCTAGTGCAGAAGTGTATAGATGGCCTCCCTGGAAGGTTACACATGAGGTGCAGGGCGGGAGCCTGGAACAAACACTGTCATTTTCTGTAAGTCTGATGGTAAATCATAGAGTGAGTGTGTGGGGAAGGACAGAGCTGTGAACCACAGGGCGTGGCGTGACAGAGAGAAAGGAAATGACTCGTTCTGCAGAGACTAGTTCTTCAGAAGGCAGTTTTGGTAATCATCAGCTATGCTCAGCTTAACGTATGGTTCTGGTCTCCTGGAGCTGCTTCTGCTGCGTAGAACTGAGCCCTGAAACAATGCACTGGAAATGATCCTCCTGAATCTGTACTCTTGCATTGCCCTTTTTTTGTAATAACATGTAGGTGTAGAGAAAAAAGGAAAAAAGAAAAAAAAAAAAAGGCTTCTCTTCCAACTCTACTAATGCATGGTTGTTTCTAACAAGTGAGCAAGTAGTTAAGCTTAATTAAGTTTGCCTTTTTACAGTGTGGGAACCAGTAAAGACGGATGCTTTAACTTTTAAGAGGCATTGTGTAAGTTGTATTCTTGTGTGTTACGCAGGAAGATGAGAAATTTTTGTCTGAAGTTTTTGCACAATTAACAGATGAAGCTACAGATGATGACAAACGATGTGAATTGGTAAGTCAGTGGTCTTGGTAGTTCTTTGGATGCTTTAAACTACAGAGATTAAGTAGAAATATTAAACTGTCCTGCTAGTTCTGCAGTCTCTGAGGTATTTCTGTAACCATAGAATAATTTCTAGTATAGCTCAGTCTTAATTTATGTACTCATTAGAAAAATATTTCTTCTGAGGTAAGCTCTGATTTATTTGTTCTAAATAATTATTTTATTGTTGAGAAAGTACTAGCACTAAACTGACATCCTAGACTTAAATGTATACTTTCTTCCAAGTATTCTTCAACATACCATATAGCTTATATTTGCCATATAAACGCTTTTTTTTTACTGTTCTTTACTCATTCAAAAAGATTTAAGTTCTATGACTGAGGATTACCAGTAGTCCCTTTATTTTTA